GTTCGTGGTCACAATGATATATATATATAATATATATATATATATATTAATATATATATATATATATATATATATATATATATATAAGGGAGTGAGTTTCATGGGTGAGTGAAAGTTATACGCAGATTGTTGTATGTGAGGCAGAAGTTGACGTGTAAGTGTATGCGGCGAAGTAAATGTCATACAATGTATGGCGTGGGATGTGAGGTAGTGGAGCCGAGTGCTGTATGATGCTAGTGTAGGCCCTCCACCACGTCAGTGCCACCAGGCATCAGAGGTGCTGTTAGAGAGGAGTGGCAATAGGTAGTGGCACTAAGCATCATAGCTGGAACTAGGTAGCATAAGACTTTTTTATTAATCAAAATTAGAAACAGCAGTATGCTGCTGACCTGTTCTTTACATGAGAGGGAAGAAGGGGCTGTGAGGGAGGGAGGGAGGATTATTGTGGGGATGGGAGGGGATGGTTGGAAATGCCTCTCACCAAGAAAGATAGATTGAGGAATATTTTTAATAAAATTGAGGTAGGAAAAGTTAGGTTGTGGAGAGTGTGTGTGTGTTCGTGTGAGCTCAGCAAGTTTGCCTATAAATACGACACTATAGGTCATATATCTTGGACAAGATCCTTGCAGGAGGAACAAATATATAATATATGGCGTCAGCTTGGGTAGGGAGGGCTGAGGCAGCCTGAATATTTCAGTCATGAGGTCCTCGAGGCTTCCCCACGTGAAGGACCCAGCACCTGCAGGGAAGAGCTGAGGCGAGACTAGCAGAGTGCAAGAAAGCTAGTGTGAATCACTGGCGGTGAAGCTGCGAGAAGTTGGAAGAAATGATAATGGAAGAGCGGGAAGAGGAGGTAATGGGAGAGCGGGGAGAAGAGGTAATGGGAGAGCGGGGAGAAGAGGTAATGGGAGAGCGGGGAGAAGAGGTAATGGGAGAGCGGGAGAAGAGGTAATGGGAGAGCGGGGACAAGAGGTAATGGGAGAGCGGGGAGAAGAGGTAATGGGAGAGCGGGGACAAGAGGTAATGGGAGAGCGGGGAGAAGAGGTAATGGGAGAGCGGGGAGAAGAGGTAATGGGAGAGCGGGGAGAAGAGGTATGGGAGAGCGGGGAGAAGAGGTAATGGGAGAGCGGGGACAAGAGGCAATGGGAGAGCGGGGACAAGAGGTAATGGGAGAGCGGGGACAAGAGGTAAGGGGAGAGCGGGGACAAGAGGTAATGGGAGAGCGGGGACAAGAGGTAATGGGAGAGCGGGGACAAGAGGTAATGGGAGAGCGGGGACAAGAGGTAATGGGAGAGCGGGGACAAGAGGTAATGGAGAGAGCGGGGACAAGAGGTAATGGGAGAGCGGGGACAGAGGTAATGGGAGAGCGGGGACAAGAGGTAATGGGAGAGCGGGGACAAGAGGTAATGAGAGAGCGGGGATTAGAGGTAATGGTAGAGCAGAACAGGTAATGGGAGAGCGAGGAAAATATGTAACTGAATAGCGAGAAGTGATGGAATATTGGGCAGGGAGGGAGTAAGGAAAGAAGTTTGTGAAGGAGGGGAGGGTACCAGCAACCGGAAGGGTGCACTACAACTGATGGTGCACAAGCTAGTAGTGATGGGAACAATGGTAATGGTGAGGGAGGTTGGAACGATCACCATGAGGATGAAGAATGACTACGGGTTAGGTTGCTAACTAGTAAGGATAGTGAGAAAAACTTGGTAAGTCCGAGGAATTTGTGTTAGGGAAATAGTGGGGTAATTAGTTTCGATCCAGGGAAGGAGAAGTTAAATTACTTGGATCGAGAACCCGTCACGCATAAGAATAGATGTTTTAACGGAAGCAGGTGTAGTGTTGTGGTAGTGAGGAAGTTGATGTGGGCGTCAACCAGGTGTGTGAACCTGTGACACTTCCATCACTGTTCACTACCACGTGTGTGAACCTCAGTGACGCCTGCATCACTGTTCACAACCACAGTGACTCCTGCATCACTGTTCACTACCAGTTTGTGAACCTCAGTGACCCTGCATCACTGTTCACTACCGGGGAACACAGTGACGCCTGCATCACTATTCACTACCACAGTGACTCCTGCATCACTATTCACTACCACAGTGACTCCTGCATCACTGTTCACTACCATGTTTGTGAACCTAGTGAACTCATACTGTTCATAGTGTTGAACTGAGTGATCGCTGATCTGTTACACTCCTACGTGGTGAATCCCAGTAGGGGGGACCCTGCGATCCGTGGTGACGTACCCGTGGGGACTCGGTGACGCTGCATCTCTCTTCCTACCAGTGTGTAACCTCACATTGACGCCTGCAACCTTTCAACTACCACGTCTGAAACCTCGTACGCCGTCAACAGTTACTACACATACCTCAACAATACTGTTCCACGTTTCCACAGTTGTACATCCGTCAACACAGTTCACTCCCATAGTTTGTAAACCGTGACATACAGTAGCCCGTAAGTACAGTTACTGTCGTTCAAGCTGAGTCGTGTTTGTAACCTGATTGGCTGATTAGTCCTCGTCTGTAGCAGTCAGGGTCGCAGTCCCAGGGTTAAGGTTCCCGTGGGGACCCGTGGGGACCCGTGGGGACCCGTGGGGACCCGTGGGGACCCGTGGGAACTCGTGGTGAGGCAGTAGCTGTGTCGTAATCTCTCCTTCCCCAAGATTCTTGTTTGCATCTACCACCGTCACAACACAGTTACTGTACGTCCGTCACAACAGTTACTATACAACCGTCACAACACAATTACTGTACCACCGTTACAACACAGTTACTGTACCACCGTCACAACACAATTGGTGTACGTCCGTCACAAGTTACTGTACAACCGTCACAGTACAGTTACTGTACCACTGTCACAGTACAGTTACTGTACCACCGTTACAACAGTTACTGTACGTCCGTCACAGTTACTGTACAACCGCCACAACACAATTACTGTACTAACGTCACAACAGTTATTGTACTACCGTCACAGTTACTGTACCGCCCTCACAGTTACTGTACTACCGTCATAGTTACTGTACTACCGTCACAGTTACTGTACCGCCGTCACAGTTACTGTACTACCGTCATAGTTACTGTACTACCGTCACAGTTACTGTACAGCCGTCACAGTTACTGTACTACCGTCACAGTTACTGTACTACCGTCACAGTTACTGTACCGCCGTCACAGTTACTGCACCACCGTAACAACTGTGATCTATTGTTCATTCTGAAAGTACTTTTCCTGCCCAGCTTCACAAAATCTTTCACCGCGCGCTCAGGGACTAAATAATAACCCTTGTACTACCTGGGAAGAAGGGCGAGTGTAGATCTCGCTTTTCTGGTGTTTACCTCCTTCTTGACTGCAATTAATTTACTCAATCCTGCGAATTACATTTTTCTCTTAATTGATTAACGGGAGTATTGATATTTTATTGATTAACGGGAGTATTAATATTTTATTGATTAACGGGAGTATTAATATTTTATTGATTAACGGGAGTATTGATATTTTATTGATTAACGGGAGTACTGGTATTTTATTAACAGTAGTATTTATTAACGGGAGTATTGATATATTGATTAGCGGGAATATTAATATATTGATTAACGGGAGTCTAGGGCAGATGTAGACGTTAGCCATATTTCCTTACACCTATTGTCCTTGTTCATCTAGTAGTAAGTAGGTACCTGGGTGTTAGGCGACTGTTGTGAGTGGCATCTTTGCGAGTAAGGTCCGAGGAAACCCCCCCCCACCCCATCCCCCAGTGGAAATAAACTACGCTGATTTTCTTGTTATCCTGCCTTGATTAACTGTAAGATTGGGTGGGTGCTGACTGGATCCAGAACCCTGTGTACTTGCCAGTGTTGTGAGTTCCTCTGTTTGTAACCTAATGTATCACTGTGGGTTTGTCTTAATCTGAAGTACTTACGTTACCTTCAAATAATCTTCGCACTTGTCATTCGTGGTTTTCTCTTGTTGCCTCTCGTATGTGTATACTCTCGTATGTGTATACTCTCGTATGTGTATACTCTCGTATGTGTATACTCTCGTATGTGAATACTCTCGTAATTGGTATACTCTCGTATGTGTATACTCTCGTATGTGTATACTCTCGTATGTGTATACTCTCGTATGTGTATACTCTCGTATGTGTATACTCTCGTATGTGTATACTCTCGTATGTGAATACTCTCGTATGTTGAATACCTCTCGTATGTGTATACTCTCGTATGTGTATACTCTCGTATGTGTATACTCTCGTATGTGTATACTCTCGTATGTGAATACTCTCGTATGTGTATACTCTCGTATGTGTATACTCTTGTATGTGTAAAACTCTCGTATGTGAATACTTCTGTATGGTTTACTCCTGTATTTAATACTCTCGTATGTGTATACTCTCGTATGTGTATACTCTCGTATCATACACATTCAGGACACTTGGAGAAGGTAAAGAAACGAGAAATACAGTTAATATATGTAATATAATACATGACACATCTTTGTCGGTCTGCTGTGCTGGTCTCCATTAAAGCTGATGCTTAAAGTTGCTTACAAGGAGAATGTTTTCCTCAGTCAGGTGAAGAAAAGACACAAACGTTCAGTACTGTATGTACATGGCGTGGCAGTGATGTGTTGGTAGTACCTACTGAGGAAGACCTGGGATAGAATCCAACACGGTTGTTCAAAGGTAATAGAGACGTGTGCAGTGTTAGGACATTTGTTAAGGAAACGTTTACCCACGAGTGAATTCTTCATGGGGACTAAAGAAGTCACTTTTGGCGAAACGTTTCCTTAATAAATTTTTTAATCACTGAATACGTGTCTTTTACCCCCAACTTTCTGTATCACCACAGTAATGCCACAAATATTCAAAGAACTATTAAATAGTAGTGTCGGTCCAGTTGTTTCCAGTGTTGATTTAATAAGCCAATGTTGGCGTGTACTGAGATAAGCCATTGTTGCCAGGTGTTGAGACAAACCTGTGTTGACGTGTTTCCTCCCGTGCAGGCGGGCGCACCTACGGACGTGCCTGGAGACGCTGAAGGAGATGGTGCCGCTGGGTCCTGACGGCTCCAGACACACTACGCTGGGTCTCCTCACCAGGGCCAAGCACTTCATCAAGGTGAGTGAGTGGTTCCTCCAGCGTCTGGTCTACGAGAACCATTATACCTCTGCTGGTGATTCCTGTCTCCAAGTGAAGCTTTCTCTGCACCTTGAAGGATAACTCACAGCATCCTGCATTTCTTGATGAAAGTTTTGAATTAATAATAATATTAGACATCATAGAGGACTATACAAAGAAAGACTTGAATTAATATATTATATTCACAGGTCCTTGATAATGTGACAAATCACGAGAGCGCTTGGAAGTTCACTATTTTTTCACAGTGGTTGTTTTGCATATCGTGATATCACATATTTACTATGATCTTATTGCACTATACACTTTTTAATCAGTATTTTAAGGATCAGAGTATTCTTGACGTTAGTGTTCAGGCGACTCCAGGCCTTATGACCCTTCTGTAGTCAGTATGTACAAGGCACGAAAGATTTTATACGTGCCATGGTCTATGTGATGCGGTGACCCGCTCTCTCCAACATTAGGTCATTAAACTGAGGTCTCGTGCTGGCTCACCAGTCCCAGCTGGGAAAAGATTAGCTTAATTAGCAGTGTAAGTTAAGTAGATAGGTTCTGTACCTGAGACGCTAATCTGGTCCTTATTTTGAGTATTTAACGTTCTAGGACCCAACCTTCCCTCCCTTTATACCTGGTTCTTAACCTTGTAGCTCTTCCCACACCTGTAGCTCTTCCCACACACCTGTAGCTTTCTCCACACACAAACCTGAAGCTCTTCCTACACACCTGAAGCTCTTCCCACACACCTGTAGTTCTCTCCATACACACCTGTAGCTCTCTCCATACACACCTGTAGTTCTCTCCACACACACCTGTAGTTCTCTCCACATACGTCTATAGCTCTTTCCACACCCTTTAGCTCTCTGCACACACCTGTAGCTCTCTCCACACACCTGAAACTCTCTCCACACACCTGTAACTTTTCCCACACATGTAGCTCTCCACGCACCCGTAGTTCTCTCCACACACCCGTAGTTCTCTCCACACACCTGTAGCTCTCTCCATACACTTGCATCTTTCTCCACACACCTGTAGCTTTTCCTTTCCTCTGTGGCTCTGCACACACCTGTAGCTTTTCCTTTCCTCTGTGGCTCTGCACACACCTGTAGCTTTTCCTTTCCTCTGTGGCTCTGCACACACCTGTAGCTTTTCCTTTCCTCTGTGGCTCTGCACACACCTGTAGCTATCACATCTGTAAAAATATAAACATTGTCTTATATAAAAAATAATTTATGTAATTAAAAAATATCTTTCTCTAATTGAGCACACTTTGATAGTAATTATTAATGACAGTAATGTGTCAACGTAGCTGATCTATAAGTGACCTTTATCGCACACACCTGTAGCTCTTTACACACTCGTGGCCAGCATGACTGCACTCTGGAACAACTAAAGGTAGCAGCAACAGCCTGGTTGATCAGTCACCAGTGAAGCCTGGCCTCAGATTGAGATCTAAAAGTCGAAGAACTCTGTAAACTAGTCAGGGGCATGGCACAAGTAGGTCTGTCTGACTAATTCTTATTCTTCTTACTCTTTCTCTTCTGACATTCCTTTCCTTCCTTTCACACCTTTCTCTCTCACTATGTTCCCTTCCCTTTCCTCCTTTCCCCTGACTGGCAGCACTGTGCTAGTCACCCCTCCCTGACGAGGTCAGCCACCTAGCTACCTTAGGGAGACTCATCCCTCGGCCTCAAATGTCAGGTAATCTCTCAACGGATTTAAACGAATTACGTCAGGGGTCCACAGAGAACACATAGCTTCGGACCTAAAGTTTTACCACTCTGATGCGTGTGTTTTTTGAAGCCAGATAATTTACATTCACATATGCTTGTTGGGTACCTTCGTGTTATTGTTCTGGGAAGAGAAACATAAAGAAATACCACCAGTACGACACCGACCATCCGGATTATCAGTTCTTGGCTGTAATCTGTTCGTTAAAGATATAACTATGAAAAAGACAGAGAAGCTGTACACAGGTTAAATACGATCAGGATACAAAAGGTAGAACTATACAGCATTGTTCATCTCGAACTTGGTTTTGACAGTAATATAAATATATCGTGCAGAATTAGTAAAATTGGTCAATTAACAAAACTCATTTAAATTTAAGTCATTCTAAAATTTTCTCCTATACGTTTAAAGAAGTATTTTCTCATTTGTGTTAATGTAAAAATTAATAATTTTGTACCAAAAGCACCTTAGAAAACTTGCTTAACCTTGTTATAATTTAGTCTAATCCATCTAAATCTACTTAGATAAGTTTACAATAATTTAGTAATAAACACAATGAAATATATTTTTTATGTAAAGTAAAAGGACACAAGTGTAACTAATGTGACATTTTATTGTGGCAACGTTTGCTCTCCAGGAGCTTTATCAAGCCGAAACTTTACATATTTTCGGTAATTCTACCAACATTATTATATTTTTTTAGTTAGGTTCAGAATGATTTTTGCGAAATTATTTCATAAACAAATTTTCGCTTGCCTTATTCGGCAAGAAGAGCGTTGCTATTTAAGCCAAATTCAAAAGTTTTATATGTATTATATATATATATATATATATATATATATATATATTATATATATATATATATATATATATATATATATTATATATTTATATTTATATATATGATGGGGTCCACCTCTGGTATAAATTGTAGGACCCATAGCCTCGGAGAAGTGGATAAAAAGGCTTCAAGGAAGAATATTTGGATTTCTTCCTGGACTGGGGACCCTCATCCTCAAAGAAGACAATAAACGTACCTCGGGGAAAAATCAAGGTTCTCCCCGGAGCTGTTTGAATATTTTCTTCTCCTACCACCCCCTATATTTTATATTCTATGAGAAATTTTATTAATAGACAGAATACCTACCACTCCCTATATTTTATATTCTCTGGGAAATTTTATTAAAAGAATACATTTACAGAAAACACAAACATGAATACATTGGTACAATATATCAAAGTTTATGAATTTCCTCCAGCTCCTCCGAAGCCAGACGTGATCCAAGTATGCAGCAAGCATTTCCCCTCTGGATGGCCACGCTGAGGTGCTGGAACTTATATTGGTCGTCTTGCGCATCGCCACAAATACACATTTATTCCGTGTGAATTGGGGCAGCAAGGCGCAGAGCCATTGCAATACGGAGGGTCTTAGGGTCGAGGCATGTTCCCATTGCCGAAATGGGAACTCTTTCGAGGAAGTCCCAGGAGTGAGGTGCGCTCACAGCTTGGAGACGGACAGTTTCCCTGTCTGATGTTACAGCCCTAAGCATGTTTGCAAGCACCTTTTCAGCGATGGGGGTCATCCCAACTTGACTGTAGGACAGTGGTGTACTAGGTTTCGGTGCTGGAGCAGCAAGAGTCTCCCATTCAGTGATGGCATTGGCGTAGCTAGGGTCCTGTATTCCTGCTGAGCCACTGAGGTTGTCTGGAAGAAGTTGTTTTATTAAACTCATTTGATGCTTTGGAAGAGGATAGGAAAGCTGGTAGGGCAATCTGGGGAGGATTTGCGTACTCCCAGCCCCCCCCCCCCAAGCCTGACTGGAAGTGAGGCTTGCAACCACTGTCCATCTTCTAGGGAAAGATACAATACACACTCTAGCATGGTCTGAAGAAGAGTCACATTCCTTGAGTTTCGGACTGCTGAAGGCTGGGGAGCATCTCAGGAAGTAGGTAAGTTTTGGGACTGACAGGTACCTGATGAGTACGGTAGAAGGCATCATGTGTATCGATGTCTTTCATCCCGCCTTCCATCGTCCTGAGGGCTGAGATTTTTTTTTCTAGGATCAGATCGATGGCACCGGGCCCAAGAGGAGCACCAAGGATAGTGCTGTTGGCTGGATGAAACTATATCACGTTCCTGACTTTAGGATATATATATATATATATATATATATATTTATATATATATATATATATATATATATATATATATATATATATATATATATTATATAATTATCTCCTAAAGTCAGGAACGTGATATAGTTTTATATGAGGAGCAAGTCTTAATGGTTTAATTATTGTTGGTGAGGGTGGTGATGGATCAGGGTCTCGTGGACCTGTTTGCCACAGTATACATGTTAAAGCAACGACTCAGGAAGCATCTTTATAACAATGTACAACCGTCCAACTCTCACAATTGTTATGAAATGAAATATTTAGTTTAATAGTTATTTTTTACCAGCTCTTGTGGACCTGTACTGATAATATATTTCTGGCTTCATTTATCCCTAAATATATCCAGTGGTCGTTTCTGTGTATAGCGGAGAGTATTGATTTTGTGTTGTGGTGTGACAAATGTTAGGTTAGATCTTTTAAAGAGAGCAGCCCAAGCGAGGTATATGTAGGTTTGTGTCTACTGGGCAGAATTATAGCTCCTGGCCCCCGCCTCTTAACTCTCATCGACCGGTTTTCTTTATTCCTAGTCTCAAAGGCCCCGATCGTATCTTGTCTTGAAACTGTGTAGTTTGACCCGTAGTGCGTTTCAGTTAGTGACAGTCTTAAAACCTACCTCCTAACTTTCCTGTCTCATCTACTTGTTTAACTGCACAACATTCTGGCTCCCTCACCACATATATCGGTCTTTGCTCATCAGTCTAATCAACCTGAGTATTTTGCATGTCGTGATCATATTTCCCTTGTGCTCCTTTATTTTAGTGTTGTTCGGGTTCTTTATATGTCTTCTCGTAGTCCATTTCCGGTACTAGTCTTCTTTCGTTTCTTCATACATTTAATTAGGTGTGGGCTCAATGCTGGCTCTGAATATTTAAGTATAAACAAAGTGTTAATCTTCCAGGTAGATGTACTTTTGGTGATGTGCTGGGTGCATTGCTTATATCCAGATCTTCCTTCCTTTGCATTGTCTGCAGTGCCACTGCTCCCAAGTGATATTTCTTTTTCGGTTTTCTCACTCTCGTATCCTTATTGCACTTTAATGGCTCAAATTCAGTTAGCTACAATCGTGACAATTTCTG